GAACAGCTCTCAGTGGGCACCTGCCATACAGCTGGAAGAAGAGGTGCTGGATGTTGTCCGCAATGTTGTGATCCTTGAGGATTTCCAGCCTTGGGGAATCAAATGAGCTGCAACTGTAAAGTTGAATCATGACTGTGACTGCTGGATGACTTTGTCACAACACAGCTTGTCATTGAAACCCAGAGGCAAAACAGGATCACGCTCCTCTGCCTGACAATGATCCTCCTCCCGATCCTCCTCCTCCACATCCTCCATGACCTCTTGCGGCTTTGCGGGGGGGAGCGGCCACATCACCAGTTGGATCCTTGTCGCAACATAAACACGCAATCATCAAAACCACCCCGCCATTATTCCAGTGAACGGTGTTAGCAATCAATTTGTGATGGTTTGAAACCAGCATAGCCATGGTTCAAAGAAAGCATCTCTGATTTACCACAGACCTCCAAGAGCCTGTCCAAGGTATTTTGAGCCAGGTCCAACATGGAGCCAGCAGGCTTCTTAGTCCACCATTGATGAATGGTATTATGCACTTCATGCAATTGAAAGACACCATATACGGTTCACAAAGGTACCCATTGTTTGTTCCATTGATGATGAAGAACAAACACAAACAGGCCTGCTGGACACTGAGAAGGCAGCTGATGCACTGTAGCTCTGCACCTGGCGCACACGAGCTTCATGGGTAAACATGACACCTTGGTAAACATGACACCTTAAACAGCACGAATAGTTATTATTCATAAGTGATTTGAAAAATGCAATCCTCACCTGATCCTGCCTGGATGCTGATGGGTGTCCTGCAGCAAATAATAAATCAGTGACAATGATTTGGTGTTGATTTGAGACGGATCAGTGTCACATTGATCAAACCACACTAAACTTGCACATCATCACGACTAAACTAATTGGCATGACAATGATGAACATACTTGTTTTTCACCAAGAGGAGCACGAGCTTCACTTGTTTGGTGCCCGCCTTTTTGGGTACCTAACATCTACATTGCCCGCTGGCCTCTTCTTCACTTTAGGCTCATCTTCACTCCGCAACTCGCCCATGTCATATGTTGAGGATTGGGAAGTCTGTGATGCTGCCTGATGATCACCCACACCATCATCTCCCTGCTTGATCACCTGGATGCGCATCTTGTGGGTCAAGGCAACATAGGTCACCTGATGAGTCATGACTTCAGTGGGTGACACTGAAGTGTGAATTGTCCTGAAATGACAATGACACCTGAAATGCTAACAAGGCCACAGTCAAATCTGCCACAGTCCCCGCCAAATTCTGAGACTTATCCATGATAGTGACAGTGAGTTACAATGGTTTGAGCTGACTGTGGCTGCAGAGTGACAAGTGACAATGAAGCTCAATCCCTGCCCAGTGCCAATCAGTCAGTCCTCCAGCCATCAAATCATCCTGGGCAGGCAGTGTGAATCATCAATTATGGGACTCCTACCACTCCGAAGTTCTAAGTTTCCAGCAGCCGGAAACAATGGAAGAACAGTTTTGAACCCAAAGGTGGCAACGATTGTGAAACTGACAGCTGACAATGATGTGAGTCGAAGACAATGATGTAATTAAACCACTGGAGCTCCCAAACTTTTCACTTTAAGTTGTAAACAATTTTAAACTCACCAGTTTCAAATTTCACAAAAAACATATACACAAAAGCAACTTTTGCAACTTGCAAACAGCCACCCAGATTCTAAATTTGAATCTCACGTTGTAGTACATAGCACCTGCTTTCATTGCGCGGGGAGGGAAAGTCAAAAAAGTCTGACCAGAGCTGCGAAGCTGTGAGAAGCTGCAAAGCTGGGAGAGCGCAACCAGAGTGGCGAAGCTGCAGAAGCTGTGCGAAACCGACCAGAGCGGCGGATCCGAGAAGCTGCGAGAAGCTAGAACCTCGAGACCCCTTTGCGAGACCCCTTCTGCGAGACGCCCTCCCAAAGACGTTTGTGCAATGTCCTTTGCGAGACTCCCTTCTCGAGACCCGCTTCACAAGTCCCATTCACGAGATCCTTTTTGTGTGATACCCCCTGCACAGCGCCGCCCAGCGCCAACAGTGCCAGTGCGCCACACCATCCCCACAGCGCCACCACAGTGCAGCGCTACACCGCCATTCATATTCGCACCAGGCCTTCCCAACCCTTGCCTTTTTGATCCTTTTTGAATAGCTGCTGATTGCACTGCGCCTGAAAGAAACCATTGTTGTGGTCTAGGCCAACTTCGACGGAACTTTTAAGCAACGCAGGCTTGCCCTTCAAAGTCGGCTACTGATTGGGTTGGGCTTCGTTGGTCCTTCACCTGAACTGCCAACCATATCCAAAGAAGGATGTTATGCCTGATTTTGACAGGTAACTGCAGACACATTCGAGTGCATATAGGAGCGCTCCTCTCCACTGCAACCAATCCATACCAACGGAAACTTGCGACAACTCAAAGACAGCAAGCAACTGGTGAGGTTCCTGGCGGCGAGTCCATAGAAACACATGGATGTTTTGAGACAGTTTCCCTTACAATTGTTGTATATATATATATAAACATGTAGAGTAGTTTTAGCTAGCGGATTTTTTTTACCACCCAGAAGAACGCGGAGGTTTCTGCACTTGTGACATGGACACTGCGTGACGGTCAGAACATGGGGGGTGGGGTGGGGCCAACATACATACGTCGGTAGAAATTTGCTCTCGGTATAGTTGCAATGTAAGTTTGTTGCGCCGAGACCTCTTTGTTTATCAAAGGCCACGGGCCATGGGTGGCCTCGGTCTTTTGGGCGCGCTGAGTTTGTCGTACGTGTTGTTGTTGTTGCTGCTGTTGCGAGTTGGCAGTTTGCGGACATCGGAAAATTTCTGGCCAATATTAAGAACTTCGCTTTGTTGTTGTTGTTGCTTGCTCCAACTAATCTACATAACCCAGTAAAAAATCCTACATGCGCTCAAAACCTTCAAAACGAACGCACCGAAAGGTGACCCTTTTTGACCAAAAAATGTTGTAAGGGCCCGCATGAAGAAAAACACGTTTTTTGACTTCAGATCTCTACCTGAGAATTCTGTTTCGCTGCAGCGAAACACCCGACAAGAACAAAACCGTAGGGCGGTAATGATTCCTAAGTTCCCAAACTATGTTGGTACCTGTGGTTACATATATTATGTATATTACATGCATGCATGCCTGCCTAGTGAATCCTTGGCAACTTGAGAGGCTGAATCGTAGTGCCTTAGGCTTGTGCCCGTGATAGAAAGAGTGCGTTTGGCATACCCATCCTGTTTGGGTCAAAACATGGAGAATGAATGGCAAATAAACGGACTCAACAGGTTGCAAGTCTTGCTCGCCAAACGTCTGGAGTCAAGAGGCAGCTTTGGAACTAAACGGACCACCACGCTGGAGGAAGGGCAGGGCCGCTAGAGGGAGTGCCTCACCTGATGACGATGTATGACGGTGAGTTTCAAGTCGCAAACAAAGAACGGGCCACCTATAGCTGTGCTAGTGCACGGTAATTAATTTTGACACATAATGGCTGCAGAGATTTCTGAAGAGAAAATTCCTTAAACATCGGTCCAGTACATGGATGGTGTACGGAGATTTGTTGAGTTTTATGTAAATGACTTTCTTGTACTGTGTGTTCAGTCCACTTCTCACCCTGTGCTTTGGATTCTATTTCATGCACTTCACTACGCACAATTGTCCGACGCTTCGGAGAGGAAGTCAGCTACGGCTGGAACATGTTTGGTCTTTGACACACGGCGCCCTACCCAGACAACTAATCCTTGGCCAAGCTGCGGCTTGCCATTGTATTTTCTTTGGACCGCCGACGATGTGTCAGTTGTCATTGGAACGAAAGTATATAACAAGTGTCGGCTTCGAAGCATGCTTTCTGATGTAAAGATTATCAAAGATGGATGGAATCAAGGTCATTCCCTTTTATTGATGTTGCGGCAAAGGAGAAGCTACCTTGTACCAAATTTCAAGAATGTCCTTTACACTGACCATATGCAAATGGAGAAGGCAGTACCCCCGAGCGGAGGTTCAAGTTTCAACTGATATTGAACCTGTCGGAGTAGCTTTTGTTTGCACGTGACCCATGGGATCGCTGTCGAATGAGTGCGGAGAAGGATTCTGTGCAGCCTGTCGCCAAGGCGAAGCAGCGAGCTTCACCAACTGCTTCAGATTTGGACGCTGCCAGAGGCGACTTCCGGCAGTTGCTTCCGGCGCTAAACTTCAAAGCAACCCAAACCTTATATATCCAATCTTCACTGTTCACTAATTTGTGCCTCAAGTAGTTTGTTGTAATGGTGCTGTTTCTACATTTGACGCACCAGTCACCTAATGAAATTGATTGAACTTGTGTGCTCTGTTGAGAGCCCATTCCAAGCTTATTCCTAGACCTTCACAGTTTGTTGTTTATCGTGAGACAAAGGTGGCTGCTATGCCAACATTAGCAAATGATTAATGAGAGAATGGCTCGAAACCTGAGAACTGAGTTTGATGAAATAATGCCGTCGCCGTCTGGCTGGTGCTGGCGTGGTGTAAGCGGGTGCCTCCTCAGGTGGCTGGTGGCCACGCTGGGACGACCTCGCGGGAGCACTGGGAAACAATGCATTACAGTGTCGTTTGGAAGCGCGAGCAATTTTGCACGACATGTTCAGTCTGATCCAGAACACTGAAACTCAATTGAGTCCAATCCGTTGAAATTCCAAGCAGACTGATGTCCTTCCAAGATGGGAATGGGAAACACATTGGGCTTCTGGCTCGAGAGCTAGGCTACTTCCAAATACCCATCTCAGCATGGAAAAACCCATACTTAGAGCACTTAGCATGAAACATGCGCAGCGATCCTGTGGCATTCTGTGGTTAACACATTGCCTTACATGTGAAAGCTGACAGACCGAAAGAACAAGGACCTCACGGACTTTCATCACTAACCAAAGAAGCCATGCCGGCCATGCCAAAGAGTGACAAGCTTTGCGGCTTTGCTCAATCGTGACAAAGACACGGTTGGATGTCGAGCTTTGTAGCGGTGCAAAGCTCAGAGTCTCGGTAGCCCACATCCTGACAGCGAGCAGTCCAGGACTATTCTAGTAACAATGCCCTTGTTACTAGTAGCTTCTTGTTCCTAGTAGTACGGCCAGGAGCCCCTAGTAGCGTTCTTGCTCCTATATATTAGCGATGCCCTTTGCTCCTAGTAGCAACAGTGGGAAGTCATGATAGGGAGGTTTAAGCACAACACTATTGTTTTCCTCTGGTCTGATTTCAGCTGATCTCATCCAATCCTCATCCCCATCCCCTCCTATCCATCAATCCCAGTCGTCTCATTTTATTTCTTTCATCCTCGTCGTTTGAAGCATTGGCCGATCTCTCAGAAGTGTATGATGACAGGATATCAGCTGGGCTCACTTCGGCATCGCCGCTCGCTCATCTCACGCTGCTTTCCTATCTCACTGTCATTGCTTAGCAGCTTCGCTTGTCAAAACTCTTTTGCACAAAGACTTACGTGTAAAAGAATAACCTACACAAGAAGCAGAGCGAGCGAACATAAGCTTTCCTTGGCTCCTACAAAGTTCTTTCCAGCGGATCAGCGAGAAAAACAGGAACCACATGCTACCACGTCTATGCTTGTGGGATGTTGTGGGAGTAAAGCACTTCACTTAACTATATAAAACAGCTGAGGCGTTTATTCAGTTTGATCTCAGAGATTGGTCGCTTTGGGGTAAAGAGTTGACGTGTTGTGTTTGGTCACTTTGCGCAGGTGTGTTTTCTCGGCGTGGCTACTTTTCTGCTGGGCTTGCAACTATCAATACCTCGTGCAGACTTCGAAGACCTGGAGGTAGATCTTGACACTGAACAATGCTTTTTCTCTCCGCCGAGATTTTTGAACTTCCTAGCTTTGGTCTCAATGCCTCGACACCTTTTTTACGAGAAACATCATGAGAGACATTTTTTGCATGCCTTCTCGCAAAGCAAAAACGGAAGAACACACCCTTTAATCACAAGATCTATAATTAGTATGGTGGTGTGGCATTGGGTTCTGGCTAGGCCACCGCAAGAAGTTGAATCAAAAGCTTGAGTTTGGTCGGTGCAGGACTTCGACGACGATGCGGATTATAATTCATGGATTTCAATGTGCCAAAAGCTGCTGCAAAGCACTATTAGGGGAACAGGTTCATCGGAACAAGGGCATCGCTATTAATAACACGACGTTACTAGTAACATTGTTGGGCTATTGCAAGGATGCTTTCGGGGTATGGTTGACATGTTGTGACATGTTGAAGTCGCAATCAAGGCAGAACCCAGATGTTGTAAATGACACAGACCACATGAAATCCAAAAGCTAAACCGCCGACTATAATTAGAGCATATGCATGCAAATGAGATTGCATTCAAGCACCATTTTGCATTGGTGCCCGGCCGGTCCTAGCGAGCTCAACTGGCCGTCCGACAGACTTCACTTAGGTTCCTCATCCTCTTGATGGCAGTCATCCTCGTTCCACTTGCGATGATCGTTCTGCAGCAGCGCAACATCCTCTACCGGTGCCAGAATTGCACTTCCCGTTTTAACGTACTGTATATAAAACATTATAAAACTTCCTAGAAGTACTGTACTGCTGTATGGCCAAGGGACAGAAATGCAAACGAGCCTCAGCCGCGGTCCCAACCCAACTTTGCAGGAAGGCGCACAAGAACCAAAAAGAGCGAGGGAGGAGAGGAGGAGAGGGAGGAGAGGAGGAGAGGAGGAGAGGAGGCAAGGAGGCGAGGAGGCGAGGAGATGAGGCGGAGAGGAGGGGGAACTTCAGGAACTATATATTTCTGAAAAGCACATGTATAAATAGTTTTGTGCGATGTGACTCTGGCATATTCAGTCCGGCCACGGTGTTCTCTCCTTTGTTAAGTCAGCTTGGGATATATTGATTTACAGTAGTACAATAGCCTATAGTTCCTGCGGCAGCCTGGTCGTTTCCACTGCAGGCCAATAGTGGCTGGAAGGCGTGGCGTCCTGTTGGCTTATTCATTTGCTGCAGAGCTTTCTATTTTTGTTGACGTCTCGTTGAGGTGTTGCTATGTTTTGCTCTCCCCTCGCAGTAGCCGCTTCTATCCCTCGCAATGTCGTCGATGTGCTTTTGACCGTCCGTTGTGAGGCGCGTTTCCATCGGTCACAAATCCAACCCTGCTGCATGGGGCCTGGAGCATGAAGGTTTCTTTCTCAGCTCGAGGCCAGGGAGCTGAGGATTTCACTTCTACGGCGCAGAATTCGAGAAAGTAGTAACTATATAAGTAGTATAAGGTTATAAGGTTTGACATATTTTTACATAAGAAACAGCTTAGCTTCTTCAAAGGATCTTTTTTTTGGGATAAAGATACTTTTCCTACCATTTCCTACCTGCAACTTGTTTTTACACACTAAGCTTTCTGCATTTCTCAGGTTTTTTGCATTTCATTGAATTTCCTTCTTTCTGCAACAGATTCATGTCGATGGGATTGGACTTGCCACTCAGAACCCACAAGCCAGGGATGGAACCAAGCTAAATGCGTGGCTGCTATATCCGCAGATACTCGGTTCTGTAGCTCTTCCTGCGCAAGCCATGTCAAGTACTGGTAATGTTTGTTTTGGGCCTGTCCCAAATGGAGCCGGATGACGAAATCCTGTGCATCATTTCATTTCTTAGATTTAGAGCAAGCGAGCTCTTTTTACCTGCCTTTCTGCACTTTGCTGTAAAGAGGGCTGAAGGCAAAAGCATGTTGTGTTTTGGGATTGCGAATTGTTTTGATGCAGCTTTCATACAGATAGTGATAGTGGGATGAGTCTTGGATAGTACAGTACGTGATCATCTCTCACATTTCAGATAGAAAGGTGCAGTGTAATTCATGCATATCTCATGTCCTTTGGATGTGGGATGTGTGTCAATCCTGGGAATGTCTCGAAGATTCTTGATTCAAGCTTTACAACAAGTCTTGGACGCTCGGCTTCAAAGGCAGTCCATCCCCCTCTACTCTACTCATATTCACGTAAGCAGCCTTGCTTTTGGGATGAAGAAGCCTGACGACGTTTTGTCGCATTGGTCGATAGTTTCACTCTGGCCCACACATTTTCTGTCCCAGGAAAGGTGCGCAGACGAAGAGACCTGCCTTGCTATTCTTTCACTCCAATGCTGGCAGCTTGTCAGGGTGCAAGAGATACGGGACCTCCAAGTCTATAGTCTTTGTGAATTCCATCAGAATTGCTTCAGTTATTGAAAAAAGTGCATTCAGCTTGATGGGTTTATGAGCGTACACCTTGTCTTTGTGAATTTTGTGGTTGCACGCCTGTGAAAGTTGTGCACCGCCTAGGTGACATCCCTCAGCGCTTGGACTTTTTTAGCCAACTTTGCCGGCAGTTGAATGTTGCTGGGACTGACAGGGTTCCAACTGCAGAGTCACCTCCTGTGGCTGTTTGCCGCCCTAGTCTTCAAGGTAGCCTCAGCTGCCACGATAGCCCGGCCGGACCCCAGATTTGGTCAACGGGACACTCCTCCTTTTGATAAGTTTGTTATCGTGGGTTGTGGGCCAGGGTGGCTTTAGTGTAGAGAATCATCATTGGTGCCCAGTTAGTGTGTCTGGGAGCGGCGCAAGGGGCATTTGCCGCAGCTTGGACTAGCTGATATGGTTGATTCCTTCGTATGCAGTTTCTTTTTGTTTTCCCAAGTCCTGCCACAGTGAACATTCCGAAGAGCTGCCAAGCTCCACCCCTTGTTTGAGGAGCATTGCCGGTCTGTAGTAAAAGACACCCAAGTTGGAGTTGAGTTGCGATTTTTATCGCACTAGGCAGCGTGCTGGACCCGCTAGGACAAAGTGCGCGAGCTGAAACCCTGGAAACATGATGAAACATATATATATATATATAAGCGTTTGTGCGCAAGCTTGTCAAGCCTGTGTGTCTGAGCCTGTGCTTAACCGTTGGTTTCAATTCAATCATTGACATTTGTCAATTATATGTTGCTTCAAACATGGCCAAAAGTACCCTCCAAAGCTGGTCTTCAGACGAAGATGGCCACATCCAGATTGGGAACATGTGTTTTAGTCCTTGTTCCAAAAGATCCGTGTCTTGGTGAGGTAGTCATCCTGGCAATGGAATATCGTGGGTTTGGCCGCTCAGCAGATGGAGGCCAGGGCTGGGTCAAGACAGTTGGCAGAGACAATTTTGGTCGACGCTCGCAGATTTTGGCAACGGATTCACTTAGGAAGTGACGAAAAACCGTGCAGGGTGAAATAACAGTGGATTTGACGGACCTGCCTTGGGCAATGAAGGGTCTTTGTCATTGTCAAAGACTTGAAATGGGTACAGCACCTCTCAGCCACCCTCACGCACACTTTTTGCGGCAGGTATTTCGGAGAAGTCCTTTGTTGAAGATGCTGCTTGCGCGTATAACTGGCTGGTGAACTACGCCTCCACGGACCCTAGTAACAAGAAGCTACTAGCGCTCCTGGCCTTACTACTAAAAGCAAGAAGCTACTAGGGGATCCTGGCATCGCTACCAGGAGCAAGGACGCTACTAGGGGCTCCTTAAACATTTTTGCACAGTCCAGATTTGATAGGGAGATTTTGCTGTGCGGTCAGTGCATGCCTACTGTGCTTGGGAGTTGTGTGCTGTTGGTGCCGTTCACACATGAGCTACTTCACAATGCTTGAGGCCGCCAGTGCCACCTGCCCTACTCACTTAGGCTTGAGTTTTAAGGCAGAATCGCCAAGCAACGTCTTCTCTCCCATGTTGTGATCCCAAATTGGCGGTCATATCCTGCGTATTATTTGTATCTATCTCCACTGTGAGTATTGGAGCTCCAAAGGCTGGAACAAACTAAACTAGTTTATGACATTTTATGACATCAACATATTCTGAGGCAGGATGAGGTACTGCAGGTGGCGAGGTCTTTTTGCAAGAGAGGGTGTGCGGTTAGGGCTTTGTTTAATCTTTGGAACCAGTACTATGTAGCAATATAAAATTGTAGCCGGATCCACGGAACATTTTGACATGAGCTGCTGCTTGGCAAACATCAAAGCTCATCCCCCTGACCACACAGGCAATCCCTCTGGACCCAAGGTGCCCCTCTCCCAAACCGGCCCTGCGGCCCACTGGTTTTAGTCGCATCCTTGTCTGGGAACCGGTACTGCACATTGGAGCTGACTTTGGAGCAACGGCCCGGGTGCAGCGCACCACTTTCTTCTCGCCAATGCCTTGAACAGCACTCAACAGCACTGCGAGCTGGTGCCACGGTGGTAGCCTCCGACCAGTTTATTTAAATAGACTGTGAGCCCCTACTGATTTTAGTTGTTGACAACCCACCCGCCGTTGGCTTTCCAGTGTTGCCTTTTCTTCTAGGCGAACCACTGGCTAAAAACGCATGGGACAACGTCCAGGACACAGAGGCAACAATTTGTGCCACGCCCCCCCTTTTTGTGGCATACAGACTTTGTCCCCCGAAAATGGGTTGGTCAGGGACTAGTGAACCGGGTTGTTGTGTCTAGACTTGTCGCGTCCCAAGTCATTGTGCGCATGCTGCGAATGAACATCACAGAAGGCAATAACTTTGCGTGTCAGACCTGGTATCTCCCATAGACGACCATTGGGCCCATTCAAGGTGTCGAAACCCTGATGCAGGAGAAGTCCTGCGTAGATCCAGCGCGGCTGTTCATATTTGGACGGTCTCTGGGAGGATGTGTTGCAGCTCCTCGAACCTGTGGACCTGCGGGCGCCAGACGCGTGTTTCCAGCTTGCCTGCAAACGCAAAGTCATGGAGAGGACTACATTGGACCTCCTTTCTGGTCTTGTAGACCCCTGTTCGATACCACTTCGATCCACTTCGGTTGGACGACAACACGTGATCATTTTGACTCATGCAACATTTTTGTCCGAGATTCCGAGTCAAGACCTGCAAGCCGGTTTATACTGTACCGGATCGTTGAAATGCTACTTGCTGCTTGGACATTGAACTTTGAACTTGCCAGGGAGTTCGTAAGGTGTGCTTCCATTTTGTGGTCAAACTAATTGCTTCAAGATGATCGAAGTCAATCCGTCGATTATGCATGATTATGCTATATATCGAGGAGCGTGGAGCAGGTTCGACTTTGACTCTTGCTCAAAGACCGTGTACGTGCTTGCGTTAAATCTTGTGTGCGCAAGTGCACGCGCAGCATCTGAGGTTCGTTTGTTGACCTTTTTGCTTGGTGCAAGCGCCGGTTCAAACTGCCCTGAAGAGATGCGCCGTGGTGCTGACAGCGCAGGAGGGCCTGGAGAAAAGCAGCCTTTGCCACTGCCAGCAGGCTGAGCAGCGCGCCATGATGATTTTTCATGTGCTTCATTAGTGCTTCATTTGTGCAGTAACAAGGATGCTATTAGGTGGAGGCCATCGCAAGTAGGTTGGAGGCCATCGGCACTAGGAACAAGAAGCTACTACCAGTAACACAGGGTAAAGCATTTACATTTGATTTACCTGACAGCTTGCGTGAAATGACCCTCCGTCTTGGAGGTGTCCTCATCGAGAACTCACCTTCCTGCATAGCAGACATGGCGATGCACCTCATGCCTTTCTTGAGGTCACAATCTGGCTCTTGCACTTTGTCGTTTGAGTCGTTTGCATTATGACAGCAAATACTGTACATCGACGGATTTCTCCTGCAGGATTCTTCCGCGAAGGCTTCTGTCGTGGCCTGTGCTTCTGGATGAGTGGCGAAGCAATGATTGGCTGAACTGGAGCCTTGGAACATGGATGAAAGCAAGCTCAAAACAAGCAAATTGAGGCTCAATTGAGGTACTGGAATAACGGTATCTTTTTTCTTGACTGGTTGACCACTTTAGCCTCCCTTCCTTCCCCAATCCCACTCTCCGTCTCTCGCGTTCACTTCAGAGGTGCATTTGCAGCTTTCAAACAACTACAATCAAACTTGTGCGAAAGATAAACGCGCTTAAAGCAACTTGGGAGCAACTGGTATTCTTTTCTTGTAGGCATGTAACCATCCGTTTGACCCGCTGTTTGTACAGTCTCGTTGCAAGGGCCGCCCCACATCTTGTCCATTATGGTAGATAGAGAAGATTTGCAATTGGACAGCAAAAGCGCGGCCTTCATCTATGGGCCGTCCTTTGCGAGGCCATGTAATGCCTAGTTACAAAATTCATCAAAATTCAGAACACATCGCCAGTGTAATCTGTAAAGCCTTGAACTTGAACATGCAAAGCGGCAAGATTCCAACTTTGTGAGGAGGCGTTCTAAGTTTAGGTGAGAACTCGATTCCATAACAGGTGCGGCTTTGGCCCGAACGCTTTGACACGCCGGAAGTCCGTATGGACACACCACAGACACCAGAGGCCACACTGGCAGAGCCAGCATTTGGCTGCCTAGCTACACCGCAAATTACTCAAAGCATCTCAAAGCCATCAGCAAGCTCAGCTGGACAACCATGCAGCATCGGCTGCAGCGGCTGCAGCATCGCATCAGCAGCGAGCAACACATCTTTCTTTGTGCTTCCACAGAAGCGCACGCATGGTACAACGCCTGAACGCCGTCAAGAATGGCCATCCCTTTTGTTGCTGAGAGAAACCCCAACAGTAACCTGTTTGGGAAAATGCTATTGTGGTGGGGCAGGATCGCTTTCCAGTTCGAGCACCTTGAGTATTGAGAAATCTCTTGCGTTTCGTGGCACGCAATCGCGTGTGGTGATTGCAGTGCTTTCATGCGACATGCGGAGTCTCAGTGTCTGCAGAGGCATGCACACAGCTGTGCTGTCTTGGTCACAACGAAGGCAAATCTTCCAAGAAGTGAACGCATGCATCTGCATGTGAGGATTGGCAGCGCTCTTTCCAGCCAGAAGAAATCCTTGCGCATTTGTTTGCTCTCGGCTGCTCATGACAAGGCACGCCATATTGAAATTGAAACTTGCGACAGTTGCACTTTGCGTCGGATCATTCTCGCTGGAGGTGGTGCCTGCATCTTGCATGGAGGAGTTGCGGGACGTGGGAGGAAAGCACAAGAGCCTGGACATTTCCTTCCACAGCTTCCAAAGGCCATTTGCTGATCGAGAGCCATTTAAGGGGCATTAAGTCATTAATCGCACGAGTGGAGGATAATTATTATCGTGCGAATGACACCACCCTACTGTTCCTTACGTGTTGAAATCACATGTTGAAACATGTTGAAACCATGTCGGGTCTTTGCTTGTACTGCTGTTGTCATTTTACAGCTCATTGCCTTCCAGTGTGCTTGGTGTTTGCTCTATCACTTCTTAATCGTGCTCAGGGGCGAACACATGAGCACTTACCTTCTTGCTGGTGATCGTTACTGGCAAGCGCTGAGAAACTTCATCAACTGAGCAAACTTGAATTATTTGTTTGATATGTTTTGTGTATCTTTGTATCACCTTATGTCAACATTCCAGCTGTAGTTAACTGTAGTTGCTTTGCCAAAGTGCAGGCGCATCTCTTCTGTGTCCAAGATTTCATAGCAAGGTTGATGTGTTGTACCAGAATTGTGAAGGCTGAAAGAGATTTGAAGTGTCACAGAAGCGTCGCAAACAATACCAAGGTACAGATAGTACTGTACAGTACCATATAGCAGCCTAGAGAAACTCAGGGAGGTACCCAAGATGCTTTCTTTCGGCCATGGAATGCCTCAGGCGCAAGAATCAGTTAATGCAGCTGCCAACTCCAGCGATTTCATTCATATAGTATTGTCTTTCGATGTCTTTCGCATAGTTGATTCTTGTGCCTGCAAGTGAACAAGTAAAGTCATTTGCGCATTGTTTCCTATCTCTTGTCGGGCGGCAAACAGGGATTTGCCCCAGACGTTTGGCTCGACCTATCGTAAAACAATTTGCGACAACAACTTGTTGATTTTGGTGCTTAGGCTTTGGCCCAAATGATGAGGCTTTGTTTGGATTTTGCCGCATCCGCATAAGTGACTAGTTGATTCACAAGAACATGGACTCCCAGCACGGTTTATGCAGGACTGAGACGGTTTGGCATTTCACCGTCACGAGGGGAATCGGTCACTTGGCTCAGCATGCTGCTTGTGTGAAAACAACGGCATTGTTGATGTTTCTAGGCAGCTTTTTGCAATGTGTGTTTAAGAAGTTATTCGGTATCCAGCATCAGCAAGGCATTCATGCTATGAAGAATCAAGATCTCGGGCAGACCTTTCAGCCACAAATCTGATCCACGTTGATACCAAGAGGGCAGATGTTGCAGAGGTCAGATAGTCGATGTGCCAGTGATGGATATAGAAACTAACATGCATTATACACACATCATGTAAGCACCTTACAAGTGGATGGGCAAAGGATGATTGACCCAGGCTACTGGCGACACTGGTGAGCCAATTCTTCGTGCAGCGATTGTTCGTGCCAGCCTCAAGACAAATATACTGATTCATGATTCGTATTTTTCCACCTTCGTCATCCTTATTGCAATTTTGAATCTTTCGATAGGTGAGCACATGTGCGGCCTGGCAACTGCTAAGCTAGAGTTAGAGATCATTTTCAGGATTTGTGTGCCAGCAATGGGTGCCCTGGAAGGCCCGACCCTTCTACTTCATCGTAGTTCTGTACTTGTCAGATTGATGCCGTGCTCCTTTTCACACACGTTGCCGCTCTACGCTTTAAGTGGCAGGCACAAGGGCTGCAAATATATTATTGAGATCCGAACCGTCGTTTTGACTTATAGTGAGTGATATGATGTGATATGTCCAAGAGAATGGGCACTTTCAGGTGCTTTCTGGTTGGCAGGAGCAGTACGTCGCAGGCGCAGAGTTTCGACGCTTGATGACGCGCGCGGTGAGAAGTGCTGGATTCTGTGATTTCAGACCTGGTGATCCCCTTCGAGTGGCAGGCACGCTATTTTCTTGCGTCAGATGACACAAGTCGGAGTGGTTGGGCATGGTGCATTTGCGGGATCTGTAGAAAAGTTCTTGCTTTTCGATTGTCGGTCCTGTAGGTTTTCTCAATGATTTGTGCAAGGTCTTCGGAGATCTCCTCACATGCTTCCTTCCACGCTCATTGAGTCCCTTGCTGAAGTGATACTGCATTTGATTACACAAGTAGCTGTTGCATGCTGTCGGGGGTATCCATGTTCCCCAATAAATAGGGAGCCAAGGAGCTACAGCACCCACCCTGTGTAACTTCGATGCATAAAACCACTGAACCGCGTCTTGACCGCCTCCAATGAATCCTCCAGGCTGGAGCAGATCTTGATACTCGAGACAGTCATAGTGGATGTGCTTCCTTGCATTTGATGGCTGCAGAGGACGCCAGCGCTTAGTCAAAGCCATTTTGAGGGTTCCTCAAGTCGTTGGAACTTTTCGAGGGACCTCGCATGAACTTTGCAATGGGGACAGTAGTTTGAGAGGTGCCCTGATTCTGAGACAAGGCTCAATAGAAAGTTTTGCTTGTGAGACTTGAGCCCATATTTTTGTTCGTGAGAAAGACGCCGCGCATGTCTCACTTGTGAATGCAGGGTAATGAAACAGCTGCGCTTTGTTTGCACGAATGCCCAGCAGGCCAGATGCTCGAGGGATGCTTACAGGGGTTCCGACAGCGGGACTTGCAGAGTTGTCGCAAGGGTTGGAACAAGGGCAGAGTGGGCACTTTATGAGGTGGACATGTTTATGCTAATGGGCTTAAAACCGCGCGTGTAGTGAAACGATTTTTCATACAGTCCTTTCGGGGGGGCAAGAACACACACACACACAAACACACGCATTGGAATATGGAAGATGGGGACACGGGGGGTTAGGGGGGAGGGGGGGTTGGGTGGGGGGCTAGTGATGTTCATGTTGTCTGCATTTTTATTAGGAAGCCACACACGCACACGCAGGCTGGAATTCTCGTTCTAGTTACAAAGGGGCCCAAAGGGAAATGAGTGGTGATCATCTTCTCGCAGGTGCGTGCAATCTGCGTCCAGATTCCATATCACAGCAAACTTGAAGTGTCTTCGTTGAGCGGTGACTTCAAGAATGCCCACCGCTCCCCTGCTATCAACAGTAGCAAAAAAGTCAGGCATTACATTCCAAAAGGATCCCTGTGACTTCAAGGGGCACACACACAGACAGGTCGGTACACACAGGTGGTCGGGGTCTGTCAGTTCTTATTTTAGACGTCGACGCATGGAAACTTGGCTTGGTGGTTGCTGACTGCTAGCTTATTCCGAAGTCTTTCCGTTCGGGGGATTGTCAGATGCTTGAGGTCAGGAGAGCTGCTCATCCACACCGGTGCCATTGATGGTATGTGGCGTTTGTGTAAGGGGTCGGTCCCCACTAGCTTGCGTTCACGTGAAGGTGACGGTATAAGCCCAAACATCATGAAGTTCACTCGACAGTGGCAATGGCGCTGGCACCAGAATAAAGACGATCTTCTGACGAAGCTGGGTCAGAAGTTGTCCCACAGACTGTGATGATGATGCTGGAGGATGAATTTGCGCGCTTTTTTTTTGGCACGAAACCACAGTCTCGTAGCATTTCGATGTCAAAATCGCAACGATTTTTGAGTCGTTTTCATGTACTACATTCGGCAACAAACCTTTCACATCAATGCAAAACACAGTCACACACCGGACATTCGTCATCACTGACCACGTGAAGATTTGACAAATGTCTTCAACCGCGCGCGCAGAAACGAGCCCGGCGGGATGTTTATGTTATAGATTGTCAAGAAAACACGCGGCTTTCTGAGCAACATTTACCCTGACATGAAGACTACTGACTACTGCACTCACATGTCAATGTAATGTTGTGTAATCGCGATGATGAGGTTGGGATGCTGCACCCCCATGATTGCCGGCAGCACCAAGCAAGCTCGAAAGCTTGCATCCAGACCATAATGGTCCGGTTTGCATCGTTAACGCGTGAAACAGTCCTTAGTGAACCAGGCCTCAGTACGCAGGCGCGCCTAAGTCAGTGAAACGTTTATGCTATGTCATGTAATCGCATTGTAATCGCGTCAGCCGGGCCCCGGGCCGGGGATACGCCAATCTATATGCTGTATACACTTTGTTATCACATTTGGGTGATCAGCGACTGTCAGAAGCACAGGTGGTGGAGCCATTTGGTTTCAGCTGTGAATGGACGTGCGTGAAGGGATAGCTCATTGATGATAGGGGTCAGCTTTTGCAGCAGATTCAATGTCAAACACCAAGTGCTTTCAAGACAAAATTGCCGTCAGAAGATTGAGAAGAACAGGAGGGCCTTTGCAGCTGACTCAAGGACACTAAAGTTGCAACTCAAAACTTGCAAGTGGCGGACAGCATGGAATGTCCATCGCATGCAGCCTGGCTGGCTTTTCGCAGCCCTGAGGACGAGGAGGTGTGAAACTTGAAAGCAGGGGAGCACTTCGATCAAATTGCGTTGTCCAAATATCATCAAACATCGAACATATGAAAAAGAGATGAACACGGGAAGGCTAGAGAGGGCCTTACCTTCCTTTTTTCATCTCTTTCTCACATTTTTTACAAAACTGTTTCCTTTTCACCTGTTGATGTAATATGCCACGACGTGTCCAGCGTCACGCAGTACCAGCGCGGGACAGGCCGGGTGTTGGCAGCACCGCTGGGTGGTGCTTCAGCACAGCGGCGTCCTCACACTCTTTCAAGACGAGAGCTGCAAGCGACTTCGAACTAAGCCGGTGGATGGTTCCGTTCAGTTTGGTGGGCTTTGGGGTGGACATACACTGGAAGAGTCACTGTTGTCCATGAGGCTTTAGCCCACTAGTGTTAAGTTTCCCTCAAAGTCTAGAAACCAAATCATTAGTGTGAGCTATCCTGCTACGTAGCTAACCTACCTCACCTCTACTAGCGGCCTACCCCCCGCAAAAAAACAAAACAAACGAACGAGCAAAACAAAAATATATATATATATATACAGGCATACATCTCAATATATATATAGTATTAGGAGAGGGGAGCGGCCAACAAATTATCCCGGCAAGAGACAGAGAGATCTAGACGCATGGGGTCCAGAGAGGTGATGGTGGTGATGAAGGTGGAGATCGTGGTGATGGTGGCGGTGAGTGAGTGAGTGAGTGAGCGAGTGAGTGAGTGAGTGAGTGAGTGAGTGAGTGAGTGAGTGAGTGAGAGAGAGTGAGTGTGAGAGTGAGTGTGAGAGTGAGTGTGAGTGTGAGAGTGAGAGTGAGAGTGAGAGTGTGAGTGTGAGGGAGAGCGAGAGCGAGAGCGAGAGCGAGAGCGAGAGCGAGACCCGAGAGTGAGAATGAGAATGAGAGTGAGAGCGAGAGTGAGAGTGAGTGGGTGAGCGGGTGAGTGGGTGAGTGAGTGTGAGTGAGAGTGAGTGAGAGTGAGGGTGAGTGTGAGAGTGTGAGTGAGAGTGAGTGAGAGTGTGAGTGAGAGTGAGAATGAGATAGTGAGAGAGTGAGAGCCAGAGAGTGCGAGAGTGAGAGTGAGCGTGAGAGTGAGAGTGGGAGTGAGGGTGAGTGAGAGTGAGTGTGAATGTGAGTGTGAGTGTGAGTGTGGGTGAGAGTGAGAGTGAGTGAGAGTGAGAGTGAGAGTGAGAGTGGGTGAGTGAGCGTGCGTGTGAGTGAGGGTGAGTGTGAGAGTCGAGTGAGCGTGAGCGTTTGCGAATGTGAGTGTGAGATGCGAGTGAGAGTGAGTGTGAGAGTGAGTGCGAGCGAGAGTCAGAGTGAGTGAGTGGGGGGAGTGAGAGTGATTCAAGGACATATTGCAATTAGACTGCCTTTCCCACTGGCCAAAATCTTCGCGCGCAGCCGCTGCATGCGGAAAAATGCGGCACAGTGCGCACTTCAGAGCGCGCCAAAACCAATGTTACAATTAGTCGCCCTCCTATATTTACAGCAAATGTGAGGGCTAGTGTGACTCGCGAGAAACGCAGGGCAAAGTGCACAAGACTGTACAAAACAGCTGAATTTACACTTACACAAATGTCTTCGACCCACCTTTGGGGTTGAGAAACTCATGAACGCTCATGAACGCGGAAAAAGGCCGTGCGGGATCTTTGTCATCGTTTTTCATTGCAGATTGGAAATTGCAAGTTGCAATTTTGAGGGTGAGGGTCCATGCTTCTACCTCACCCTCAAAAATGCAACTTACAATTTTTGAGCGCATACAGGCTGAACGAACACACATGAAGGTCAAAAATGTAACTTACAATTTTGACCCCTGTCTTGTCAGATGGAGGTTTTTTAGACCTGTATGTTCAAGCTTCACCGTTTTCCAAAACCTGCGTTTTGAAACACCCAAAATTGTAAGTTACATTTTTGACCCCCCCGGGGGGTAAGGTCCACAAAGTACTGCGCTTGCCACGAAATCTACAAGCGAGCCACATGTCCAAAAGTCACGATTCACTGCGCTTGTCACGAAGTCAGAGCGCCTCAAAGATCACCACCATGTCCAAAGTGCTGCGCCTGCCACGAAATCTGCATTTCGAAGTAAAACCGTTCCGATCCCTTGCGGCTGTCACGAAAAGTCGACTTTGGACCACCACAACACGGGGTTTCCCGCGCGCCTGCCACTAAAAGTGACCACCATGTCCGGAAATGCGCACGGCGCTGCAACGAGAGCGCAGTCGCGACAAGCGCCCGCTCCAGCCCACGAGGTTCTGCGACCCTGCGCAGTCGAAATGCACTTCGAGGATTTTGAGAAGCATGAATGCACTATAAATAGCAGCAAATTAGCTGGACACGCCCGCGCGGCACGTCCGATTAGACACCAGTGCTTAACACTCACCGTAAGAACCCCTAGAGGGTCCACACTGCTTGGGGAAAAACCGCAATTTTGCACTTGCTTTGTCTGACATCATGCGACTTTGTTGATGAAGAACTTGGACGCTGGAGAGACTTTGATCGCCATCAACTTCTGACATGTTTGTACCATATTCACACCCCTTAAGAAACTCGGGAAAGTACAAGAAGTGGGATGTTGCTGTTGTGCACAATCTCTTCTTGTTCTTGCGTTCCTGGCGGGTGGAAGCACTTTCACATCATCTCGGAATACATTATGTTATATAAGCATGTTATTATTGTTCGCATTTGTTTGCCAGCCTTTGACCTTTTGGCATGTTCGTAATAGTGTTTCCTAGGCGAAGCATTGGGCGTTTGGAGCTGCAGCCGAATGCGCGGGTGCTGACCTTCGCGGACCCGCGAGCCCCAAACCTGGCCGCCAAGCTGAGAGGGCATCGACCTCACGGCCGGGGGTTGACGCACGGACGAAATTCGAGAACGTGTTGCAAGAAAGGAATTGAAAAGGAACGGGCACGGGTTTCTATAATTACAAAACAGGAAAGGAACGCATGAAGAACGATGTAATTATTTGGGTTTGTCAAGGTCTAAAATAACAGGCAGAAACTGATGAAAAATGAACAACTTGGCCGGCTCATTCTAATTTGCTCAAGTCCAGGTTTCAAGCCTCAAAGTCAACAGGTTGGGAACAAACCTGACATTGCTTATAGATGCTGATCAAACATGGTAAAACATTCCTGAGGAGTCTTCTGAGTTCCTCTGGCTGAAACATGATTTTGCTCAGAGACTGACCGGCCTTGTAAGTCCAATCAACTTGAAAGACAAACTTCAAGCACAAACAATGCAGGCTTCTTGCTTGAACTCAACCCTTTAGATGCTGAAGATTATGCGACCTGGCAGCAAGTGCTTAGCTGCTTGGCTTTTTGTGTTCCACCCT